TGAAAGGAAATGCTGGAAAGATTTCCTGTGAGGTATTCAGAGAAAGAAAAGAGGCCGCTGAAGAAGAAAGGTGCTGGGCATAAGAAAAAGGGTTTTTTCAGGCACCTGAAAATGTCCTCTTTTTGCTTCTGGTGCGCTTCTGGAGTGACTCTCCCCTTGCCCTTTTCTCCATGTGTGGTGCAGACAATTCAGCACTAAATAGACACACAGGCCGACTTGGTAGGAAACTTATTAATTTAAAAGATCATCTGTGGTTTTGCAAAGAAGCTGCCCTTTCCCTTTGTCAAGCTCCAACAGCAATGGTCTTCGCCACTGTGCCAGGTTTCTGCAAAGTGCGTGGACGGGCAGGTATTTGGTGCTCAGAATATCTCCCCTTTGAGTGTCCTCTGGGGAAATAAGCATCAGCTTTTAATGCTGCCAGCCGGCTTCATCCTGCCCTCCCCACCCCTCCATGGCTGCCCAGGTATTTCAATCCTGGGCAGGCTGCCTTGCAGCTGGCACAGTTCCCACGCTTCAGACAGCCACCCAAATGCCACTTCCTCTTAGCCCCTTGCCAGCGCCTGACGCTCATACAACTACCATGACTGCACCTGCAGGCAGAATATGAGCAGAAGGAAGGCGTGTCCAGACCTGCCTCCTTTCCATTTGGGCTGTTCCCTTTACTCTTTCGGGCCCACCACACCATTCTTCTGTCGAGATGCCCTGCATGTAAAGTTGGGCTGCACAGCTTGTGGCCTACAACTCGTATCATCCTTGAACATCTGTAAATGGTGGCATGCCCATGTAGCTGGTGCCCTGGACAGAGATACGGATATAGGGATTGGGTGGCTTTTCCAATGAAGAGTTCTCAGTTGATCGTTTAAAAACAAACAAACGGGCAGAGGAAAAAGTATCTCCAGCAAAGTGAATTATTAATAATAGGATGTTACGGTTATACCTGAACTTTCATCCTCTTGCAAGAAACCTAAGATGGCCAACAGTCCTCCTCCTCCTGCTCTCCATTTGGTCCTCACAACAACTTGTGTGGGAGGTCCCACTGATATCTGGGGCTGGCCCAGAATCCCCTGGCGAGCGTCATGGCTGAGCAAGGACTAGCACCCAGGACTCCAGGTCCCAGTCCGTCTCTCTCCTCTCTACACCACTCCACCTGCCTCTCACAATGTGCTCCGTCTGGAGCATTTCATCCTGTGAACCTGGCTTGTTGAAAGTGCTGCGGCCCATGCGCCAGCAGACCGACCTCCTGGAGTGAGGAAGATTCTGGGGCTGAAGGGCCAGAGAAGTCTTTGCTGTGGGCACTCCTGAACTCCTTCTGTGAGCTCACGGAGGCCGGGCTGCCTGCTATGGGGCTGTAACTGGGAGCCAGGCCCTGGGCCAACGATCGGCGGCCCTGTGTTTTGCCCCTTTGCAGCCCAAGCAGCTCCCAAGCCTTGTTTCTGTCTGCTGCCCCCTCGGTACATGCAAATGTGCGAGGTGCGTGGGCTGAGCTTCACAAAGGCAGATTCCTGAGGGCTGAGCAAGGTGCTACTTGATTCAGCATTGGATCTGTCCGGAATTGTAGCAGCAGCATTTTTATTAGTTCTGCAGAGACATGTAGGTACCTTGGGGGGAAGCATGCTTTATTATGAATAATCACAGCCCAAACAATGACAACAAAAGCGAGTGTTACTTTTTCTACTCAAAATACGTCGCTGCAGAACTGTTTTCCTTCTGAAAGAGCTAATTGCAGGGCCAAGACGTGGCTTGACAAGCTCTCCCCACACAAACAATGGCCCCTTAAGTGTTATGCAACAAAACGGGAGAACAACATGATAGCCACTGCTTTGCTTGACTTGCAAACACGTAGCAAAAGAGCAAAAGACCCCTGATTCCTGATTGAATCACAGTTGCTGCTCCTTGGTTCAGCTGTGGTTTTCAATCTTCAGATACTGGTGCAGCCTTCTGCCATCTGGGACCCTCCCAGTGTGTTGGGTTTCACGTCCCATCAGCCCCAGCCCCCATGGCTAATGGAAATGCCAGGAGGAGCAGTCCGGCCCATCTGGAGGGGACCAGACTGTGGAAAGCTGAGCTGGAGTGACGCAAGAGCTACGCTTCTAAGCAGGATCTCATTAATTCGAATCTCAGTTCTGTCACGCATTAATTGTTGTTGTTGTTCTGTGCCACCCAACTTGGGAAGGAGAGCCCTCCAAAACATCTGTCCTTCACAGCCCTGCTCAGCAATTGCAGACTCCAGACTGTGGCTTCGTTATGGAATCGATCCATCTCATATTTGGTCTTCCTTTTCTTCCTCGGCCTTATGAGATCTACGGGCCCCATAAAGGAAGGCGCAGTTTAATGAGCCACAGGGAACCTCTGCAGCCCAACTCTGCCTTACTGATCTTTGCAGCAGGGATGGCAAACTTCAGCCACGAGGGCCGAACCCAGCCCGCTTGGCATCCTTCTTGGCCCCCCTTCCACCTCTGGACCCTCTCACTTGTGAGCTTTGCCTGAATATATGCTCACTTGTAGGCGGAGGCATGTTGGTAGCACAGAAATGAGTTATAGCGGCATGAACTAGGGATGGGTGAGGGAAAAAATATGCGTGTAAATTTTCTAAAAGATACTGCTGGGTGGCTTCTCCCAATTGCTCCTGGGACACCTTGGAGGAACCGCTTGTGGCTGCCAAGACGGGGCTCATGAAAGGCAGGGTGGCAGCCTCGTTTCACAATAAAACAAAAGCAAAAGACAACAACCCTTCTGCGGAAAAAAGCTGCAGTGAGCTCAAACAAGGGGGTATTTTGCCAGCTGCCCGCAAGCGCCGCTGGGGCCCCTCTGTGGTGGCCGGCCATGGGGGTGGCAAGCCAGACCCCTTTGGCTCACTCATTGCTGGGGTTGGCTCAGGACGGGTCAAGCTTAGCCAACACGCGTGAGACACGCTTAAGTCACCCAGGCAAAAACCACGGTGGGGTTGGGTGGCGTGCTGAGCCATGCGGCCTAGTGCAGACCCAGTCATCGTCAGCACATGGGTCTGTCTAGCCAGTGGTCCTGTCCACACTGGCTGGCAGAAGTGGCCCTTCAGGGCTTGGGTAGCCGGCAATGCCAGGGATTCAGCTTGGAAAAGGGGGGTGACACCACTGAGCCGTGGTCTCTCTCCAGGCACATGGACTTGCCTAAGTGGGGCTTGAGTTAAGCGTTCCTGGGGTTTGCATGGATTGCTTTCCGATGTGAAATTGTTTTGAGGGCCAAATGGTTGCCCAAGGGGACCTAAAAGCTCCCAGAGGGCTCTCAAGACAGGGCCTGGACTGCAGCAGGGTCCAATTCAAGAGCAGGAGTGGCCCAGAACCCCGGAGCGTGAGCTCCAGAGCCCCCTTTGCCAATGCAAGTATTAAAAGGGGCATATTGGAAAATCCATTTCGGCTGTCGAGAAATATTTGGGAAGGGGAAAAAAGCAAGACGTTTCCCTCTCCCATGTTGCCTCTTAGCCACGTGGTCCTGCTAACCACAGCAGAGCCGAATGCTCCCCCAGCCCTCCCTCTTCAGCAGCCCGCTTTGCATAACAGATTATAGAAAGTCAAGGTGTGTGCGCTCCGCTTTCGTACAGCTGCAGTTGCTTGATCATTGCAAAAACCGAGGATGTATGTTGAGCCAAACAAGACAAGGCTCTCATTTGTTACAGGCAGGTGTGGTTCAAAAGCGATTAAAGAGTAAATCCAGGATTGAAACCAATTGCCAGGTATGCAGCAAGACTTAAAATGATGTAGGAATTTGTCCAAAGATAGAGGCTCACCTGGAAACGCCTGGCCAATCTTTCTCCACCCACCCCACTCCTGCCAGCCCTGTGCCAAGGTGCAAAGTGGGAATAGCGAACCTCACTTAAACACAGTCTGCAGACAAGGTTGCTTGTGCCAGCCGATGCCGCAATTCAAACTGGCACCAGGAACTGACGAAAAATAAGCTGGAATCGATCAGAAAATGACACAGCATTCATGCCAGGCTGCTTGTTTTGTGTTTGCGAAAACTGGCCAGGGACAGTTGTGCTGGTAAAGATTTGGCAGGTGTGAGCCGCTCTTCCCATGTCTCACACCTGCCAGATCTTTTGGATTCCAGCTCCTATCACCCCCAGCCAACAGCAGTGACAGTTGGGAATGATGCGCACTGCTGTCCTCCTCACAGTCCATGAGAGGAATGCTTCAGTCTTTGGCCGAGAGCACACAACAGTGCCAACACGGGATCTTTGCAGCCGAGAATTTTCTCAGCTGGGCTGGGGATATTTCATGCCCACATGGATGTTCTGGAGAAGATTAAGTTTCTTAGCAACTCTGCAAAGAATTGGAGAATCTCAGCAGATTCCCCCCCGGGGCTCTCAGTGGAAAGCAACACATGGAAAAGGGTCAAGGGGGAAAGCCAGCCACAGGTTCCCCTTTGTGTAGGGCACCGAGTTCAAAGGACTGGCCTGCTGCACCAGAACCCAGACTTCCCCTCTGCTTTGAGTCCAGGTCTTCCAGGCCGGCTACTTGCCCTTTGTCGTATCTTCCTGTTGCGGTTCTGTTTTGTATTTTTGACCATATTTTATTAACATGGTGTTTTTAAGTGTTGTAATTAGTTTTTAATTGTGTTTTATTTCATGACTGTGAGTTGCTCAGGTGTTGTGGCGCAATTGGCAGCATACAAATGTTTTAAATAAAATAAGCGAATAAAAGGGCAAGCTTTGGTTAGAGGACTGGCCATTGGAAGGAGGCACAAAGCCCTTGCTTACCTGTGTAGCATGGGAACCTTCCCAACCTCTTGGACTACAGCCCCCATTACCCAGGGATAATGGGAGTTGGAGTTCAACCACCAGCAGGGCATCAGGGTATGGGAGGCCACCTGATCTGTTCAGTGTTCTGTTAGCTGCCCCAAGATTTTCTGGTGGGTTGAAACAGTTTAACTGCCTTTTTCAATAGAAACTGAAAGATACACTTTGTGACGATACCAAATCGTGGCTTCTTTAGATAAATAAAAGTCGTTGAGCCAAAGACGAGGGCTGTAATTCAGAATACTTTGTTCAAATAAAAACCAGAACATTCAAAATGTAACAGCAATAGTTAGTCATGAACAATGAAGGGAAAAAACAAACACACGGCACATTGTTGCGCGATGCTTACAAGGCAGAATTGACTTGCTTTTACTGAAGAAGAGATAAAAACCCAAAGCTGCACAAATCTTGAAACAGAAGCTCTATGGACAAATGCAGACACCGTATTCATAAAACCTCTCTGGCCTGAGACACTTAAGATATTTACCCCTTTAAAATCTAGGATAATCATTAAATTAGTCAAAATATATTTTTTCAAGTGTAACAAAAAATACACCTTCCTACAATTAGGTCTATATTTTTCTTACGTTAAAAACTCTCAAAACAAAAAAAAACTATATTAAAAGTCAATATAGATTTATAAGGAGTCAGATTATATTCTGAGAGTCCCCTGCACAAGGACTGGGAACAAGGAATGGGAGAATGGGAGTCGTTTCTCCCATTTTGAGGGATGAAGGGAAGCAGCACTTAACTGCTGCCAAACTTAAAAGACAGGAGGGACAGGAAAGCAACGCTGGGATGCTTTGGAGTAAACTGCTGAAGCAATCAAAAGCACAGGAACGCCACGCTCCCGTTGAGAATACGGAGGTGCCCAATGAAACGTGGGTTGCACCCGCCGCCTGTCCTGGGTTCCACCCCAAAAACCACCCCCCACCCAGCGTGCTAAATGACACTCTTTGGGCGTATTGCTGATTTTGGGACCCCAGCAGACTCCCCCCCCCCCAACCCAAGAGTTGAGCTGCAAACTTCTTTATGGGGAGGCTACTGATGGACATTTACAGAGTCATCTCATGACATCTGCAGAAAACGATGAAGCTTCTTAGATATATTATGCATTCCAAAAAGGAGGTTGGAACGGAGTAGGAAGGTATGGCTGGCTGGGCCACTTAGCAAGAGTCCCGCCGTTCAGAGACATTTTGCATGCCCTAAACACAACACCGGCCCTTGGCCTTCGTTAACAAGGTGGTCAGCCTCGCCGAGAGGAAGAACAGGCGTTCCCAAGCACTGCTGTTTCCAATGATGCTCCGCAGAACATCCTGGCCCCGTGAGGGATGACTTCCTATTTCCTGGTTCTCCACTCTTAGTGGTGCCTCAAGCCCAGTTTGGCCCCAACTGCCAAATCGTAAAGCTGACTTATCACAAACGCTATTCAAAGGCTCCCAAGAAAAACCGTGGAGGATGCTGTTCTCCTCCAAATGGTCCCTAGTGCAGCTTCCCTGGCCCTGCTGCGAACTGCCCAGAGAGCGTCAATTGCTGGGGAGCATGGAGATGCAATACATAAATAAGCAGGCCTACCACTCCCAGCATCCCCAGTCCAGCACATCTGCAGGGTGCTAGGTTTGGAGTTACCAAAGCAAGCGACAGCTTCAGTCATCAACTCCCTCTGAGCTCCTGCAGGAAACTTCATGAGCCTTTGGCCACTTCTTTTCACAGAAGTTTTCAAGAAAGTTAAGGCATGAAAGTGACCGTGCTCAGTTCACAATACATTCTGTTGGCACAGCTCCGAGGCGCAACATTGGTGCGTGCGGACAGAAAAGTCGCAGGCCTTTTTCCTGCCTAGGTGCTCATAGGGTTGTGACTTAAAGAAAAATTTACACATTCCATTAAGAATGCACAAGCAACTGTGTTGGAGCTTGCAGAAAATCAAAATAAATATAAGCAAGTTTAAGAGTAGTGTTCTGGAAGGGAGAAGGGCACTGGTGCAGTCAGAAAACCTGAAACTTTCCACCAGCATCCTTTACCGCTGCTCGAACCAATCTTCTCCAAGGCAGATGCCCTCAACGATTTAAGTTGCCAGCAACAAGAATTGGAATATTTTGCATTCTGGTTGCATGAGTGTATGAAGGCGCCAAAAGTGGGTTTACACCACATCACCCGTGCTCAAGGGCTGAGTATGAGTTGTTGTTGAATATGGGTAGTCGCATTGTGTGAACCCAGCTAACAACTCACAGTTCACAAACCACAGGGTATCTTCGTGGGTTCTGTGGCGGACAAGCCATGGATGACTGCATGGTCTGAACACAGGCAAAGTTCTGCTCCTGGGAGAGGAAGAGCAAGGTTCCCTGACGCATATGGCGTGTTCAGGGGCAGATGGGGCTGGTGGGGAGGTCCCACATCCATCTGCACAACTCATCCAGTGTCTCTGGAGCAAACCCAGACACTGAGTTTGGGTGGGCATTTTTTCTCAAACTTGAGGGTTGGCCACAGACTTGAATACTCTCTGAAATCAGCCAGGTCTTTAGTTTCTCATGGCTAATGTAACTTCCACTGATTTCAGTGAGACTACTCAATGAGTAAGTCCAGATGAAACACTGAATTTTCAGTGAAGGATGGAAGGGGGAATAAAACACAAAAGCTTGCTCGTCAGAAAAGCTCTTCCCATGATCTTGATTTTATGTTATGCGCCTGTTCCCAATTTTTCAACGGGGTGTTTGCACTGTACGTCAGTAGCAAGTAGCTTTCCTCCAACATGCATGTAGGATCAACACGCCGCAGGTAATAAGGAATGTTGTAAAAAAACACAAATACTCCTCTGAAAGGGCAATCTATCACAGGCATCAACATTTCTGACAGCCACGCCATTTGGAAATTGAAAACGTAATGGCAACTAGTTCTCCCGAAGTTAATACTTTGAGAACAACACGAAGACAGAAGCTGTTTCGCAACACTGAAAGTGGATGGAACATTTGGGACACAATCATCCGCGGCGTGCCATAAACAACTCATGGCGGTCATGAAGAATTAGGAATACACCCTGTGATCGTGCCCGGCGTCTGTGGCGCCCCAGTTATTAGACCCCGCCGTTCTTGGCACCACAAGAGAGAAAAGGCCACAAATGCCTGCTGTTCTGCTTTAACGAGATTACTTCACCCATTTGGGAGAAGAGTTACCATATTTCAAAATCCTTATGTACAAAGCTCTACGAGAAAGAAAAACAGCCCCCCCCCCCACACACACAAACACCCCACCGTACAAGTTAATATAATACAATCAGCTAGGAAAAAAGACTTGTTGCTCTGGAGCATGTCGGAAAATAGGTGGAAGCCTGGAGCTTACACCCTAGGCTAGCCCAAATCTGGCCTGTGGGCCAACCCAGACTCCCAGCATCCCCAGCCAGCCATGCGGTCCCAGTGATGGAGGGGGGACCAAAGGAATCCCATCACTCCCCGCTCCTCCTTCCCACAGGAGCCAGGGAATTGGACTGGGGCCCTCTCCCCAGAGGGGGGAAATGTGTGGGGGGAGTAGAGGAGATTTCCCTCTGGAGCAGCCAGGAACCAAATTCCCAGGGGCACCGCCATGCCTCCTTGGCGTCAGGCTGCACTCACATGCTCCCTGACCCACATGGCCCAGGGGGCTCCCCTGCCTCACCCTGAGTGTTAGCAGTAGCCATAGTACACTGCATTTACACCCCCCTTTTCTTGCTCTTGCAAGGGACCCCCAGGAGTTCACAAAGCTCCCCCTTTGACTTTTTCATCACAACAACCCTGCAAGGGAGGCGAGTCTCATCGCCACCTAAGCTGGGTCCACAGCAGCTTTCTGAGGCGATTTCCCCGGTTCTTGCGAGCCTGGAGGGAAGGGCCGGCCGGCAGAGCGAACGAGGGCCGGCAGGCGCCATTTTCGCTCACCGCGTGCCCTTTCGGAAGGCTGCACACTGCGCCCTCGAAGAAACGCAGGGAAAATGGGGTGAGGGAGACAAAAGTGGGTTTTTTTTAATGTTCTTTTGTTTTGGTGGGGTCATTTGTGAGGGCAGGGGAAAGGTAGTTTGTGAGGTAAAAACAGGGTCCTGAGGAGACAGTGCTGCTGCTGTTAGTCGTGAAGTTGTGCCTGACCCTTAGATAGTATTCAGGATAAAACTACAAGAAAAGTTTTAAAGATAAACAAATTGTGAGAGAACTTTTGTGAAGAGACTCTGAGGCAGAGTGAGCGGCGGTCGAAAGCAGGCTGGCGGGAGTCGTCCGTCTGGACGGGGAAAGGGGAGCGGATTTCCCGCCAAAAACCCTTCGAGCGGAGAGCCTTCCTGAAAATGGGTGCTGCGCAGGCACAGGTGCCATCTGTGGCAACCACGCCCAGGAACACCTGGCGGACGCACACCTGAGCGGGGACTGGAAGCGGGTCTCCCCAATCTCCCCAGTGCCACGCTGGATTTTGGCTCCCCGCCCCAGGTTCAGACCAACCTGACACTACCTCAAGACAGGCAGAGAGATACTCTTAGGTGCTACCAGTGGGATGTGTTAGATACACCTGTCTTTACAGCAAAGAGCTCCCCGATTCTTTGGGCATTCTCCTATGCTGGCCACCATGACTAAAAAGATGTAATTCCCCTCCCCCAGGGTCATTGGATGGCCATTCCAAACAAGAAAACCATCGCACCAAGACACTGGCACGCTGATTCGTGTTCGGGGCATCTTGGGTTAATTTAAACATTCAGGTTTTTTCCGCTCCTTTTGTAATGGAATGGTAGAAACCAGAAAAGAAGGGCTGACGGGCTGGGTCTCTGTCTCCTTCTTGAGTGAAGAAGATAATAGGGATCCTCCTGGTTGTCACTGGTTTTTATAGAGTGTGTGAAAATTATCCCCATGATGGGACTGCGCTCAAAATTTAAATTCGCTTCCACTCCCTTGATTTCCTCTCTGCTGCCCCAAACTGCTGCAGGCTGGAGTTTCGTGAAGAGGCCAAGATCTCTGCCGAAGGGCTCCAAGAACTGCTCCCACATGGCGACTGCTCAGGGTTGCTTGGGAGTGGGAAATCCACGACCCTTCAAAATGTTGAAAGTGTGCAGTCTAAGTACATCTGACACGACGTGTGCCAAACGAAATTGTGCATCTTAAAAGCAAAGCAAAGCAAAGCACAAAAATACCGCACTAAATGTTTGCTAGGGAATATATCAGGACCATGGTGCACTGGGACAGCGAGTGGAATCTTTTCTCCTACGATGCCAGCGCCAACCCAAGTAGCAACTTTTCTCCAAAGCTGAATACGTCACTGATAGAAGCCAGACAAAATACGGATACACTGAAGGCCGATGCTTCTCCTTCCAAGATGGAAGGTTTACTCTCTTACAGCTTCCCCCTCAATAGCCAGGTGGCCTAACAGCCTACCTATTTTTTAAAGACCCCCTCCCCATAAATGGAGTGACATCACAATGAATTTCCTCTGCTGAGGTAAGAAAATCACGAGCTCCCCCACATCTCGGAAACTGAGATGAGCTAACGAGTTCCATGGCCTGGGAAGCAGCACCCCCAGCAGCAATGTTTTAATTAACAAACTCTTTCAACAAAATCTAGAGGATGACAGTCCAGACAGTCTGTTCCCACAGGCAAAAAGAAAATCAAACGCCAAAATGGCACAAAGGGATTCCTAGAACTACACAAGCCTTCCAAGTGACTTGGTCCCGTCTTTTGCTGCAGGAAGTCCTAAACGTCTTTGCAAGCTCGGCACCCTCCAGCTGTGCTCGACTCAGGGTTCCTAAGATTCCCAGCCTGTCTGGGAATGATGGGAGCTGTAGTCGAACGCGCTGGAGGAGCATGGGGTGGGTGCACTGAAGCAGGAGCGGGAGCAAAATGACTGCAGCATGCAGGCTGGGCCTCTTAACTGGAGCTCACAAGTGCCAACTGCTGCGTCACCAAGGCTGCGCTGGACCCTCCGTGCGCCCGACTAGAGCCAGGTCCCTCAAGGTGCCCAGGAGCAATGATCCCAGGCCTTCCACATCTTCATCCTCCAAGCCCTCGTCACACGGAACAGTCGCTTCCCACCCCACAAGAGCACACGGACAACCCACAACAATGCCCACATTGTGTGCATAAGAAGGAAAGGAATTGGCATAACCACGGGGCTGGTTAGCTCAGCTGGTCTCCTGGGTGGCCGAAAGCCGAAGCCAGGTAACCCGACTCAAGCAGGACTTCCGCCTTCGGCTGCAATGCCAGGGGCCCGCGTTTGCCATCAGGAGCTACTGCGGAAACCTCCCGGGACACGTTGTGTGGATTTGAAGCAAGTCTACTGGCGGAGGCTTTCACACAGCACCCAAAACAGTGCTGTGCTTTGCGCAGGAGAATCGTGACATCACAAACAGGACAACATATAAATGCTCGTTCTAAGTCGATACAACACAGAAACAACGTGGGAGTCTGAAGGGGAGGGGAGTTTAAAAAACAAAGCCCTAAAAAATACACAACAAAAATACTTAAAAAAAAAAAAGGTCCAGGGTGGGACAGCCACATCCCAGGAGTGGAACGTGTCGAATTTCTGCACATTCGCGACGGGACAACAGCACCAATGTTTGTTTGCTTGTGTGTGTTTCTGCAGGCCCAGTCTGGTTGTGCGGAGGAGTGTAGGGTTGGGAGAACCCCTTTCCCGAGGAGACCCTGCATTGCCGAATGGATCAGCCACGCTGCGTGCTGCCAATTCTGCAGACGTGGGAAGAAGTGGTGGGGTGCCGGTGCGCCTTGGCAAGTTGGTTTTCTGCATGTAAAGCAATCCAGGATGAGCACATGAAGCCGGTAAACTAAGGAAAGATGCGCAATTGGGAAGAGGATGAGGTCTCCGATCCGTACTTGCACCTGCAAACAAATGTCTATCAGCTTCGCTGCAGGTGGGTTTATTGGGGCCTCAGAGGTTCCCAGCAGGAGCTTCTCTTCCTGAATTTCTTTTGCACCCGGATGTCGTCTCCTCCTGCATCTTGTCAGCTGCTTGGCTTGAGTGAGGGAAGGAAGCAAGGTACGGGGCGGGGCGAGCCGTGCAGCCATCCGGATTCTAGGGAGTGCTCTCCACTAAGTGCCGGGAGTCGACTTTTTTTTAAAGGAGGAATCAGATGTACATGTGTTTTTAAAATAATCTTGTGCGTTGGCTTGAACCAAAGGCTGACGATTTTCTTGTCTTTAGGACTCCTGTGGGACAGCCTCCATCAATTTCTGACACAGAACTGTTATGGAGTCTGTTTAAAGAAAGAGGAAAGACAAATATGAAGATGAAATTTGTCACTGGTATCCTGGAGGCCTTGGAAAGGCTGTGAAAGTTGGAAAAACCTGAAGAGCATTCGGTTGAGCTGATCTTTTTATCGCCTGTTTCTCTTCAAGCACAGGCTCATCGCTTGGCCAATGTCATGCAAGAACATTTGTGCAGCTTCCCTTAACCTGGGCCCTCCAGATGTTTCAGACTGTGACCCTTCAATATTCCTGAACATTGGCCAGGCTGGCTGACACTGATGGGAGTTGAAATCCGAAGCACTCAGAGGGCACCAAGCTGAGGAAGGCCAAGTCAAAGTGCAGCAAACTCTTTTCAAGTGTTGAAAAGGTGGCTTGAACAATGCAATTGGCTGCTTGCGCCGCTTTTTGCCTTTGAGCCAACAGGTCTTGCAGGTTTTTTGTATTCCCAAAACCTGCCAAATCTGATTGTCCAGGTAACAGTGGGAGAAAAGAAATATGGGTGTGTGTTGTCAGCTCAAGCCCTTTTCTCCTACCATTGTCAGCCTTTGGCCCTCTTGGCTTAAAACGGACACTTTCTGGCTATGGGGCTATTTTTCTTTGGCTATTGATAGAAGGCAGACAAAGAGCAGGGTGGTAAATTACACAAGAGGGCACTAGAACCAGAGATGTCTAATTAAGAAGAGTACGAGACATTAATCCATCTGTCCCCAAATACTCCCTCCTCACATATTGGCCCCATCCCTCCCAGGCAGAATCCACAATGCAAAAAGGCCTGAAAAGCAGGACACAATTAATATGTTAATTTGTTACCCAGTGGCTGGAACAAGGGCATTTCTGAAAACCGAAAGCAATGCCTGGAATAAGAAGAAAGGGAAAAGAGGCTGGGATGGACCAAGCACTCAGTAGTTAAGAGAGATGGCTGAAAAGCTCTTTTGCACTCTGCCCAAAAGCGCAGTGATAAACCCTGAGCTTCAGCTCGTCTGCGTTTCTGGGTCAGTCTGTTGTTCTTCCTGAATGCTGGAGAGAACAGATGGTGGGGTTGGGTTACGAGGACACCGTCCAGTGAGACTTCGCATGACTCAGCTGCACTGAGAGTTGCTTTGGATGCTTAGGCGATGGGAGCCCAAGCCAAGAGTGTCAAATGCGCCTGGTTTGCTCAGAGACAGATGAAGTCGGGACAAAATCGCACACGGTGCTCATTTGGGGGAAAAGAGGACTATTGCCAGGCGCTAAAGAAAATCCACACCTGACCTGGGCAGACATACAAAGGTGTCTGGAGAAGAAAACCTTTAGCCCTTCCCAGGAAGATCCACCTGGCATCTTTCCTGCAAACAATTAGGCATCAGGCTGACCTCTTAAAAATGTAATTGACTGCTTTATTCACTTTACTACTGGCTCCTCCCTGTTTTGATTTTTTCAGATATATTTCTAATCTTTGATGAGCTGGATTGGTGCAGCACACTCTGCAAAGGGCTCTCTTGGAAGGTGCTGGGTCCAGCCGGCACAATTGTGCGATGCCAAAGCTTTGCCATGAGCCCTTGGCCTCTGGCTGTTTGGAGCCAAATGCAAAGCACTGCCTTTGATTTTCATAGTTCTATGAGACTCACAGTACTTAAAGGCATGTTTCTTCTTGTATGCACACACTTGCGATCTTTAAGCCTTTAGGTCATCCTAAAAACCTAAGAGCTGGATCAAATCCAGGGGCCGCCAAGCCCAGAATTCTGCTCACACAGTAGCTGCCCCAGGGATCCCTCAAGCCCAGGTTCCCCAGCAACTGGTGTGCTCAGACTCTTAACCTCAACACCCTTCAGTCACCCAACAGACTGAGGCTCCGGGCTAAAAATGCAAACACCAACACAGAGCAGCTGAGAACACGGATCTGCTGTCTGGAAGCACGCAAAATGTCTGCAAATTCACTGATTATACTCACATATGCCCTGAAGAAGCCACTTCGGCTTGTTTTCCCACCAGACACCAAAATAGTAAACCGGGATCCCGCTGAGAATGATGGCAAACCCAATCGCACACTCTACAGGAGTCATCCAGAAGGAGACGACGATGAGGAAGATACAGGCGAGGATGAAGAAGATGGGCAGAAGGAGATTCACCTGTGCAGAGAGAGCCGAGAAGGGGTGACCATACTGAAGTTAGTGAAGCAGGCAACATACCCGGAGTTATGCTAAAAGCTTTGAATAGGATGAAGCACACGTCGCTTCACCTGAATGGAAGTTGGGGGATTCTTGCTTTCAGGACAAAAATCTCGTATCTCCCTAGTCCCATTAGAGAACTCCAGCACCCAGCTCTCCTTGCGGGGGCGGCCCAGGATAATGGGACTGACTCATGGGCTGCCAAGAGGCCCTGCTCCAGCTGAGGGCGGACAAGATACCCAGGACTACAGTCTCCATAATCTCTGGCCACTGGTGGGAGCAGCAGAGCGAATTCTTGGAGGTGGTCTGTGGGCGAAGACACGGGGGCATCCGGCACACCCGGCACCCTCACCTTGATGGGCCGCTCCAGCTCCGGGTGCTTGTATCGCAGCCACAGCATGCCGATGATGGCCAGGGCCACACAGAGCCAGTTGAAAAAGCTGAAGAAGTTGATCACGGAGAAGATGTCGTTGGAGAAGGCGTAGAGGAGCGTCATCGTGCACTGGAGGCGAGAGGGAGAGCGCGACACGGGCCGCTGAGGCGGAGAGGCAGGGAGGACCGCTGCTTTGTGCACCAGGATTCCCCACGGTGGGCTCATGGGCCTGGGTGCTCGTCGGATCCCTGCCTTTATTGCTCTTGCCTGCATTTTCCCAAGCGTTTTGTCACTGGGAGGCTGGCCTACCGTAAAATGCAGTGCTGCCCTTGCACCTTACTTTGGGCTCCCGACAGCGCTTGTGTGTTTGGAATAGGACCCTGTCTCCGTTGTGCACTCTGTGGCCAGTTACCTTTCCCCAGGTTTCCTGCTGGCAAAGGAGGGTCTTGCGACCAGCCGTTTTGCAAAGGTGCGAGCCATCCGCAGCAGCTGTTTTGTGAGAGCGCCCACGAGGCTCTCCAAGCCCCCCTGTTCCTGCTGTCCCCAAAGGAGAGGAGACCCCCTTATTTGCTCTTGACAGCTCCCTCCCAAGACAGCAATCGGTACACCCCTACCGTGAAGATGAGCGAAGGCACGGGAGTGAGGAGCCGGGGATGGATCATGGACAGAACTGAGGGAAGGTGACCTTCGCGGGCACCCACAAAGAAAAGCCTGAGAAAGAGAGAAAATTTAAGTTTTAACAGGTGTCTTCAACTACGGACTTCACCCCCACAAGAGGTAGTGACAGCCAATGTTTGCTTTAAAAGAGAGTTAGACAAATTTGTGGAGAAGGGGAAAGCTATCCAGTTTCTAGTCCTCATGGTTCTGTGTGACCTTCTGCATCTATATACTGGCCTCGACTAAGTAGGTCTTCAATCGATTGCTTTCTATTATTGCATTACTGCTGTTTGCCATCTCCTGGTCATCTCTGATTGAATTTGGTGAGAACTACATCAGTTCTGTGCTCATATGAAACCAAAGTTTCACTTCTAAAGTGAAGCTCCCTGCTAAACTTTCCTGGGAAATGAGCATCACTGAGCTCAGCAGGGCTTACATCTGAGTAGCCACATGTACAACTGCATTTTACAGGCCTGCTCTCTCTAAACTCGGTGGAGAGTCCCGATAGTTAGCATATAAAATTGCCCTATGTTAGAAATAATGAATGTTGTTAAAGCATGCTCTGATAAAAATGCCGGTATCACATCTATTTCATTTCTGCCCCCCACCCCCAGGAAACCATTTCCTCTGGTGGGGAGCAGAAAAACATTATTTTGCCATGGCTTCAAAATTTCTGGGAATTTTACATCTCTGGGTATATTCCAGGACAAATAAAAATCTGGGAGCAGCAAAGACACTCATCCTTAATGAAGTTGGAGAAGTATTTTCGATGTCTGCAGAAGCGCAACTGCATTTTGCTCACGGTTATGCCTTTCTGTCAACCCAAGAAATTCTCCTGAGGGGCTGTATGCCTGGCGGCAGCAGGAACAAGCAGGAAACATACCGAGAGGAGGTGAAAAGCGAGCCGTTGACCGAACCGAAGCACGACAGGCCGACAAAGACAGGGATGATCCAGGCCATGACGCCCAGGTGGTAGTTCCCAAAGTCCTGTGAGCCAAGCGGGAGGCGAGAGCGTGTCAAAACGGAGACAGGGAAGGAGACTTACCCAGGGACTCGGGCACCCCTCCCGCCCCCGCAGGGGGAAGTGCCTCGCCTAATCAAGCTTGCAGCTCCCACCTGCAAATGAACTGCCGTGATCACCTAGCAGGGTCACGGTGCACAACGCTTTGGCGATGCCCAGTGGCTGTGCCTCTTGTGAGGCCTTCATAAATCAAATGCGTTTTGTGAAGGAAAGTTCTTTAATAGTCAGAGAGACACACGCCCTTTTTCATTGCCCAACCTGCCTCTTGGAATTTAACACAGGAACACCCAAAGTGGATTCTCCAGACCCCTCTGACAGCTAAAAGACTGATACTACAACACTGGAAAGATGACTGGGACACCGATGATAACACACTGGTGGAGGATTTTAATAAAACTTTTGACTTTTGAATGGGTGTCTTTAGGGGGAATTTGTGACTGGACAAATAGATGAACGCTGGAGCTGCGTTTTGAGAAGTTTACCCACCATCTCTTTTAGCACTGGCTTGCTAAGTATAAAATACATAGAGATCATTAACACATATGTATGCAGCCTTATGGAAAAAACTGATTTGTATGTTAAATGTTGTGTAAGAAAACTAGGATTTCATTTGATTTTGTTCACCTTTCCCGTTTTTTCACTGCTGTGTTTTTAGTTCTGAACAATCCGATGAAATGCAGTTTAAAGGGAGCGAGAGAAGGACAGAGAGCACACTCCGTGTTCGGACAGTGAGCCCTGGACATGCTAAAAGGCCGTGGGAGGCATCCAGGGAGCGACCCGCCATTCCCGAGCGACGCGTTCCTCCATCTTACCACAGCGACGGCTTCGGAGTTCAGCATCTCGTCCACCGAGAGCGTTGTGAAGTAAGCCAGATTGGTCAAGACGTAAACCAAGGTCACGATGGGCAGAGAAATGATTATTGCCAGAGGCAGGTTTCTGATGGGAGACGGGAGGGCTTTAACACCACCGGAGGGACACACACACACACACACACACACACACACACACACACAACACACACGTTCGCCTGCAATTTCTAAGACTGCTTTTTGGGTACTCCCCATTATTAACCCTTCCAAGCCCCGTTATCTGCAGCCTTCAAAGAGAAGGAAGCAGGGGACTGTCTGGGGTCACTGCTCCTTTTCTGTTCCCGTGTGAAGCCAGGCAGAAGGCGATGGCCACTGGTGCTCCCTGGTTCTTCCCAGTTTGGTTAGCAGGGGCTGCATTTGGCTGGAGAGATTACACTAGAAAGGTTGGGCCCCCTTGTGCCTTCCTTCCCCGTCCGTGGGATTAAGCCCCCAAACCACCCAGTTCCAGATTAAGAACATGTTCCAGTTCTGATGAAAAACAAGGCCGTCTTAACTTCAAGGGCTGGCTGGGTCAGCAGCAGGTGCAGGCAAACCAAACAATCCCAACCACCTCCTTCCCATGGTAATTCAGGGAAGGCTGGTGTGATGCTACGGGTAACCAAGAGAGAGACAGAAAGCCAATCAAGTGCATTTGAAAAATTAGGACAAGCTGGCCTCCCAAAAGCGGTTCGATCCCAGGCAGCTCAGCCTCCGGGAAGGAGTGGAACAATGGCACAAACCGTGCGGCCAGCCTGGGGCCTTCCTGCGATGGACTCCTGAATACACGCCCAACTGTTCTTTGCTGCGATTCAGACAGGAGGTGCACAACACGCCACGGCTGCAGCTCTACACATGCAGATTTGAAAGGCAAAAGGCAAGAAAGCGTGCGAGCTCACTGGCAGAGCTGTTGCCGAAATGATCCCTCCAGCTGCCCTTAGCCTGGTGCCCGCTGATGCTTCAGCCCCATAGCACCAGCCAGGCCAGGAAGGGTAGTTCAAAATGTGGCTGACAGAGTCGAGCGGTCCCAAATTCAAGCGAGCAGCACAGGATCTCAAGTCTGGTATTCAGGACATGCCGTGTACTGCGCTGCGGGACATCTCGTCCTAAGCCAAATTTTTTCTCTTTGGCCAGTCGTTCTCTGCCTTTTAGAAACTGTAGGACTGACCAGAAGGATCTGAGTTTCTGCATTTATTTATTTATATTTATTTATAAAATTTGTATGCCATCCATTACTTCCATCTCTGGACGGCTTACAACTTTATGCCAGAAAGCTCTTAAAAGATGCCGGCGCACTGGCAGGAAAAAGAGTTTGCAACCCAAGGGTGCAACAACCAAGGTTCAGATGAAGATGGAAAGAGAAAAATCCACCCAGGGAACTCCACGCCACGCCACTCCAAGCCTTCTTTAGGATTCTGGCACTTTAAAATATGCACGGCTGCCCCGTCTGAAACAGAATTCTGAATCGTTCCCTGCCTCCTCTGAGAGAACCAGGGACTGTGGGATTAACAGGAGATATGGCTGTCTAAAAGCAAAAAACTGAAAAGCACTTACCTGTAAGGATTAATCATCTCCTCTGTGACAAAATTCAAGTAATTCCTGTGTTGAAAGAAAGGGAGAAGATGGAGAAGAACACAAAAGAGAATGTTATAATGTGCAGCAAAAGAGGCTGCTGCTTCCGGAGTGGAAGTAGGATGCAAGCGGAATAGGGACCTCGGGGCGAACAAAACTCATGTGCACACAGGTCTTTCCTCCCGCCCCGTAAGATCTGGAGACTCCCCTGCAGGCACAACTTCCGCAAAATGGTCCCCAGAACCAGGCTTGTGGTTCTGCACCACACACGCTCTGAACTCATGGGCATGTGCAACGGACGCCCCCCCCAATTCGTAAGCTCTGCACACGCACTCAGGTCACGAGCAGGAGAAGGTTTGCTCTCTCCCTCTTGCAACTCACCAGCCGCCATAAGCGAAGAGACCGCTGTACAAGGCCAGGACAATATTCCCGACCTCTGTCTTCGTGCCATCGAAGGAATTTTCAAGGCTCAGATTTGGCACTTCACCTGCACAAGGCAAGACACAGGAAAGGTGAGCGATTCCACGTGGGGTGCGGGTCCTTTCCAGAAATGAAATGGTGCGCATCCCTGTCCAATGTACTGCATGACACATCAGCCACTGCGCTGGCCATAGGGAAACGCTGGGCATCCTAACTGCGGGGGGGGGGGGCAGGACCCTCGCCCTCTGAACGCTGCAATTCGTGTGATCCTGCAATGGGAGGTGTCAGGACAGTGGCTTGTGAGCGTCAGGCTGGCCCTGGAGTGGAGATGCATCCCCAGGACCGCGTGTCCTGTGCACAGGTTCTGGTATGACAAGAGAAACGCCTCCAGCTCTGCCTTCTCTGGGCCGTCTAGCTGCGCCCACCTCTGCCCCGTCCCGCCCTCACTCGCCCTTTGTCCAAGAGACCATGGCACTTGCAGAAACTTTCAGTGCATGCAAAAGCGCAACGAACAGCGACAGGGTCCAGCTTTCTGCAGCCCAGCGGGGTGCAAAATCCAAGCCCCCCAATATCGGCTCTAGTGTGCTCAACACATGGCTGTGAGGAGCCCAGCAAGGACGTGGATCAGCAAAGAGCTCTGACAAAAACAGAGCAAGAGGACAGGCCAAGTTCCCGACCCCACGGTGTGCAAGAAGCCCTCCGCTCCGCACGTCCCGCGCATTGTGATCGAGGCCCTCAATAAGCTGAGCGAAAACAGGAACACCCTCTCGAGTGGGAGCAGCCCAGGAAATGCTTGGCAGGTACAGGACGAGGGGCGATGAGCCCATTGTAAGTTCTGCGGATGTTTTCGGCAACTTTGCAGCATTTATTTTAGTTAAAACGCCGCCTCTATTGAAGCTCTGCCGCGTGTCCTTTGATCTGGAGGCCAAGGCTGCGGCCCCGGTGGGGGAGGGGGAGAGGAAAGGCTGGCTTCCTGCCCTGCTCTGAAGATGCAGCCCCCAGGTGCGCTGGGGGGCGGGGGGGGGCAGGCCGGCTGGGGAGGCTGCCCGGCCGTGTGATCCGTCTTAGGATGCTAAGAGCTCGGCGAGCCCGATCACATGGGTGCGTCGGAGCTTGAACCCTTTGCCCTTTCCCAAACGCGGCGTTGGGCGATTCACCACGGGGGTGGGGGAGAGGGGTGTTGCTGGGTGCCCAACAAAGGAGGCTTTCTTCCATGAACTCCAAACCAGTCATTTCCCTGAGCAAGCAAACTTCGGCAAGCATCACTGGCTGAAATGGAGATGGAAAACGGTGCCAGCTGATTCCACAGTGTGTTTTGCTGAGAATGCCCTGCGTCTGGGGTCTTCCTGCTCCCGCCTCGTTCTCAGCACTCCCTCGCCAGCGTGGTCCCATGTGACGAGAGGCCCAGGCTGGTTCCCGATCACAGCTCTCCTAGATGCTGCATAAGCTGTCTTTCCTAAATCCGTCTCAATGCCCCTGCAGTTGCAACCGCTGCCGTCTCGGCCTTAGCTCTGAGAGACTCACTCACCATGCTCCGCTGCCAAGGGAAGAGCCGGCAAAGCCGCCGCTTCCGAGTCACTTGCTGGTTGCGCGGGACGTGTGTGGAGCCCTGGGAGAGCTTCTGAGGCACCCTTAAATCAGGAAGAGAGGGGTCCTAAAGGGAAAGGTGCTCTTTGGAGCACCGGGGGTCTAACGCCCCTGCGGACACCCAAACCGGGTGTCTCTGCTCACAGCGCCCTGCTCTTCCCTCCTTCCTTGACTCAACCGGCTAACAATGAACCTGCACGGATGGCCACAATCGCAGGCGCAGAGCCGGAACCTCCTGCCTCGGTGCCCGGCCCTGAGTGCCTGTCCGGCCACACGCTGCTCTAAAATTAGCCAAATCAAACGTGACAAGCTGAAACACAGCCTCCCGCACGCATGTCCATCCTAAGTGGGTAGAAATTGCCTGGAACGGCGACCTGCTTATTTTATCGGCACCTGCGGGGAAAGGAGAAATAAGAGGAAGGGCGCAACTTCCGAATGCTTCATCTTGGGATCGTGTCGGCACTAGTCCTGGAGAGCACCGGAGGGTCCCACAAAGGGGTTATTAACTGGAGCAGCAGAGGCAGGGCTGAGTGGAGATGAGCGAGGGCTGAAGCCCTGAATGTAATTTGCAAGATAAAAAGAAAAGCCAGGGGCAGCTTTCTGTGACATTCAAAGGGTAAAACAAGAGAGGGCTTCCCCTGCCTTCCCCTTCGAGAGAAGGCAGCTCACTCACCTGCCCTACCTTGCCCTGCTCTGCCCTGCCTTGCAGAACAGGAGCAGTGAGCAGCCTGTGTCAACAAACACTCCCAAAATGCAGTTATTCAGCCGACAGCCACAAAGAGGGTTGCTTTGGCGGCCAGATTTCTTCCCTCCCTGCTGGGCTGAAAATACATCATTAACTCAAGTTGACGGGTCTGCAGCGTTCGCACAAGGCTGGTGCCTGGGAAAGGTTTCTGGGTGCGCCAAGCTGTCCTCTCCAGAGAGCCTTGCTTGGAAGCGTTCCCACAAACAGAGCAAGGTGGGCTTCCACCTGGGCCAACGTCCTGCAGTCCTGGCTCAGCGCTCCAGGTAAAGAGCCACACCTCGCCAGAGAGCCTTTTCCTCCCTCTGCCTCACAAAGAAGCACGAAAAATGGTGGACCAGACCAGGACAATTCTGGGAGGAAATATGTGGATGCTTGGAAAATTGGGAGAAAAACACCTTTCCCCACTGTTCCCCTCCAGATCTCTAAGGATGGCACGTAGGCTTCCAAGCGTAGCTTTGAAGACAGAGGGCTGCACAGCAGTCCGACTCGCTTCTCCGTAATGAGATTACTCCCCCAGCTTTTGAGCAGCTCAGAAGATTTAAAACTGGAGACTGCAAAAATGTGCAGCCAAAAGGATGAAGGGGGAAGGCGCTGACCAAGTGGGCTCTCGGTCCAACCAAGTCCAGCCAATTATGCTTCCCCCACCACACAGCGCAGTCGGCTCAGAGCGAAGCCAGACGTGAAGCGAAACACCCCGTCGACTATGGATTTGTCAGACTGGGACAGGATGCCACCAGAGACAGACCAAGTGGATTTCAAAGAGCAGCGACTCCCTGCCTGCTGAGATGCATGGGGCCAGTTCCAAGGAGGGGGAAGAAGTACACATTCAATCTATAATAATATGGGGGTGTGAAGGGCTGAAAACCCCCAGCAACACCCACCCCCCTGCTGCCCCAAAGCATCTTGTGCTGCACAGCCAGGACCGTAATTAAATGGGCTGGCAAGTTACAGAAATTGCCTGCTCTTTAATCAGAAGGTTAAATTGCCTTCTCTGGGGTGGAAGAGGGAGCCGCAGGGGCAGGCGCGCCCGGCTAGTAACGGTGAGCGCCCACGCACTCGCAGCCAAGCGGGGCATGGCAGAGAACAGGATGCAACAGGTTGCCAGCTCCAGCGTGCAAGCCGGAGGGGCGTGAGCGTGGGCAACGCCAGCTCCTCCCTGCCCCCTCCGTCCATTCCTCCGGGGCTTTGCATTGCAACGCTCTGCACAAGAGCCAGCATCGCGCCATCACCCGAGGACACTGTTTAGGCCCTGAGCTCAGCAAACCCTTATCAAGACAGAGACGTCTGTGTACCCTGCGCACTCCATTCTCAACAAAGTGTGGAATTCAGGCCAGCCGGTTGGGCTGGAGCACACATGACTAAGAGAGCAGGCAGTTCCGTATTCAGACAAAGTCCTCCTCAGAGCAGAGTTAGTTACGTGGATGAGGTCGATGTTAGTCATTACTAACTCAAGCCTCATTCATTTCCATGCATCTAAACAGGACTTATGTTGGATTTGACTCATGCCTCTGACTCCTCACCATACTACTGTGGGGAGTAGCACCCACCCATGCATGGGAAACAGTTTCTCTCTGGGACCACAGCATAGAGGTGAGGCCTGAACTTCCACTGGAAACGTCCCTGGTGTAATTCGCAGCATCTTCAGGGATGGCTGGGAAAGATTAGGGACCTGGGGACTACGCCTCCCCTCATGTGCTGGCTGAAGCCTCTAAGGGTTGTAGTCCAAAACATACAGAAGGCGTTGTGTTGTCTGGTGGAGACCAGAGTGGGCAAAAGACTGTTCTCCAGATGTTTCAGACTTCCTACAATCAGAGTTCCTTACTCATGGGCTATTCTGCTACTGTCTTCTAGAAGTCCAAAGCATCTCCCTTCTGCCTATCCCCATGTAGACAAGCTTGAGGTAGGTGGACTAGCTTTAGGCCTGATTCCTGTGATCTTGGAACCCAGCTCTTGCCATTGGAAGCTCTTGCCAGCTCTTGTTCCTAGCCACCCCAATGCACTTCTCCGACCTGGCGCTCTCTAGACAGATGCAACTATTAGTCCCAGCATTCTTCATCCCTGGCCATGCTGCTTGGAGCTGGTGGTTGTTGGAAGCCCAAACAAACCACCTGGAGGGCACCAGGTGGAGGTGGTGGGAAGGCTGCAGACAGAGAAGAAACTTACAAGCTCAGCCCCCTTCTAGCTGTGATGCTTCCTGCGGAAGTAAGAAAAGATTTCCAGGAAAAAGGAGCGATCAAGGAGTTTGCTCCGGCAGTGCAGCGCAGGAATGCCCGATAAGCAAAGCACCAGCACAAGTGAAAGCAACACCCCCTCAGGCTGCTTGCACCCAGGTGCGGTCACTGGAGTCCTCAGGGGCCGCACCATCTCTGAGTGGTGCCCTTTTGCAATCAGCTGCATTTTTCCAGGGGAAGTACAAAGACACCGGGCTGCTGGTTTCTCGGCGGCTTACAGAAACACACGCAGACAGACACCAACGCTTTGGACTGAGCTCCCTGCGCTTCAGGACAAGTCAAAGGACAAGAGCGGGAAGCGCAGAAAGGCTTTCTCTTCCACACATGGCCTCCTGTGCCGTTTGACTCAGCAAATCTGCAACAGGAATTTCAAAGGCTCCCCCTGCCCCGGTTCGGTGCCGTCGAGGAATTACTGTGATAAGCCTCGCGGTAAGAGGGTGCCCAGGCGGGGCGGGTGGGTGAGTGGGAATCAGGAGCTATTAAAAAACACAAGGGCATTCAGTA